AGATTTACCAACTTCAGAGCACTTTTGTTTTTTACTGGATTTTTAAATGGTGCATAAAAAAGGAGTTCAAGAAAGACATTTTTAAATTTAAAAATTTATTTATTTTTCCCTCTACATGATCATCATATCATGGCTGAGATCATGGACCCCTCAAAATTGAGATTCAAAATCTATCTCGAAGATAAATTTTTTGTTGGGTTCAAGTGTTCATGTCCCTCCACAACCAAACTAATGATTGATAATATTTGATAATAACACCCTAATTTGTTCCCTTCTTATATATTATTTTTTCCACAGGACTTGCCATTAATTGTCCAGGCTCAAGTACCGAATTAACCGTGACCTACACCATGACTGGTAAGTTGATTGGAGGCCAACAGGAGTACGACATGACCTTAGCCAACGTATGCACGTGCAACCTGTATAACGTGGTCCTGTCCTGCCCACCGTTCAACGCTGAGAGCCCTGATCCAACGGTGATACACCATTCAGACGACTCTTCATGCACAATCAATGATGGCAACCTTATCCACCCTCAGGACATCGTAAAATTCAAGTACGCGGGACCACAACCAGACCAGTTCGTGGTCCAGAGTTACGGTGAAGCGTGCTCTTAGGAAGCCATCCCATGAGTGGTGATATGGAGTTCCAAACCCTGGTGGAAGCCGTCCCATTCGGCCAATCAAACACACCAACAGTTTATTGGGTGCTTTCCCATCCCATGTGTGGTGATATGTAGTTCACATGGTGCTTGAGGAATAAAGTAAATTAGTTTTTTTTTCTGCCCTTTTTTTCCATCTCAACACTCCTATTTTATAATCTTAATGGTGTGTTTGATTGGCCGCATTTTTGGAAAATGTAAGAGCTCAGTTCTGCCAACTGAGCACTCTTGCATTTTTTTTGTGTGGGAGTGGAAGCTCAAGTATGGACGGGGATGCTGCTTTGGAGACGATGTGAATTGTGGAACCTGCCCCTTCCATGCTAAATCATGAAAGGGGCGTTTCCACTTATATGAAAGAGGGGGAAAACGAACACATCCTAAATGATTTCATTATCCCACGGGAATGAACTTTGTACTTGCTCAAGGGGAATTTTTAGGAACCTAAAATTTTGGAGGGTATCATGTTCAACCCATCGAGTTTCTTAAACCAAAAAAGAAAGGTCAAATGCTTTTAGTGAGCTTGATGAAAGAAGCTCTTAGTGCGATGTTGGGAAAGGTAGGGAGGGAGGGACTCTTTAAAGGTTTCAAAGTTTCGAGAGTGGAATCAAGCATATCTCACTTGCAATATGTAGATGATACTTTATTTTTTTACGATGTTCAGGAGGACTAAGTTAGATATCTAAAGAGGTTCTTTAGATGATGTGAAGTTGTTCTAGGCATTAAAGTGGATTTTAATAAAACAAATATGGAAAAGTATACAATGAGACCATTTATGTTTGGTACAAGATGGTCATAATTAATGTAGACCATTAGATGTGAAATTGGATGGCTTCATTTATTGCATTGGGCATGCTCAAAGTTCAAAAGAAATTTTCTCGAACTTTGTGACAGATCCAAGCTATTAGATTTCACATCGAATGGTTATAATGAATTGTGACCTCTTTGTATCAAAAGTAAATGGTCTCATTGTATAAAATCCTAACAAATATGATGGTAATAGCTCGTGATAATGCTGTGGTTGAAAGGTTTGCAAAACATTTTGTTGTAAAGTTGATAATTTTCTTCTAAAGTAATTGGGACTACTAATTTCAGAAGGGAGAACTCCCAAAGCTGTGTGGGATTTAGCAATTAAGAGGTTTTAATATAAACCAAAATTATAGAAGGCAAAGTATGTATCTTTGAGAGGTAAGATAACATTGATAAATTTGACGCTTTGCAATCTTCCCATATATTTGATGAGACTATTAAATATGCCAAAGTGAGTGATGAAAGTGTTGGAAACACGTATGAATATTTTTTTTTTTTGCGGCAGTACTACAGAAAAAAACAACTACCATCTCGTTAATTGGGAAAAGGTATGTACCCCTAAAAGAGGATATTTGGGTATTACAAAGCTTAATATAATATCATGAGCAAGGTCTTATGGAATAATGGTGGTGGAGAAATCTTCAAGATGACAATCAACTATAGGGTAGATAGTTCTTTAAAGCTCATTAGAGAAGGTAGCCGGGGGGATTCATATTTCTACAATATGTATATAATATACTGGGGGCAAACTCGCTTCCCTCATAGGCTGAGTTACTCGGCCCAATCTTGAAACATTGTTGTGAACCTTTTCTAATGGGAAATATTAAATATATCACGGGGATTGGGGAGAACATTTTGATTTGGCATTATAGGTGATTGGGGAATGTGCGTCTTAAGCTCAAGTGCCCCTACCTTGAGTTATTTTTATTTATTTTTGAATATTAAGAGTAACTTCATTGAGAAAATGAGAGATTACAAGAAGTTACTAACTACAATCAGAGAAAACAAAAAGAAGGAGAGAGGGACAAAGTTAGAGGGGAAAGAGAAAACCAAGGAAAAGGAAAAAATATATAGAAAAGAGGCTTAAGAAGAGGTTAATTTTGCGAGGCTATCTGCATCTCCGTTCTTCTGTTGATGTGACAGAAACTCATCTCTCTGCCAAGGTGGCTAAAATGATTTCGTCCTTAACAAAGATCAGTTGCCATGAGACGCTATTTGGATGAGCAAACCATTTAACTACATTTGCAGAGTCTCACTCTATGATGTTGCGAACATGATCTTCCTGAAGCTACAGAAATCTTTCTTTTACTACCATCAATTCTGCCTCATTAATGTAACACAAATTGAGCTGATCGCTGTAGGAGAAAATGACGTTCCCGTGTGAATCATCCATAACTAGCTCAGAACCTAGAGGTGGTATCCACTCCGCCAATTTAACAGCTTTCTTCGAATGGATTTTGAGGAGGTCAACAAAATTCGAAGCGAAATATCCTTTGGGGTAACTTTTCAGATTTGAGGAAGCCTGAGCCCAATGAACCACTAGCCTGAAGACAACTCAAATAATATCTGATGATGGTCTATATAAAATCCCTCGAAGACTCTCGAATTCCTCTCTTTCCCGAATTAAAGCTGCAATTAAGTTGGGACAAAGATGAATCCCAGAATTCGGAAAGGGTGGAGTTATTTGAATTGGTGCTAAATCAACAAGGAAAATAACGTAGACTTCATGACAGGTGATACATTGGGGTTTTTTGGGATATCAAATGCAGATACAATAGAGTGCTACATGTGCTATTTTTATCAATTAGCATAGATAACGAGTGGGCCATTGGATGAAGCTATGTGGGAGTTGCATCAGATGGTGAGTTATCAATTAAACTACTGTATTTTTTTCTATTTTGTGATAGGCTTCGATGTTGTGGAAATGTTCATGCCTAATCAGTGACATGTTTTTAACCACACAATTTTATATCCAACGGAAAATAATGATTGTGGCTTTCTTGTATGAAAAGTAAATGGTTTCATTATGTGTGTACGAATAAAATATTTCTGCCCTATTTTCAGAAATGATGCCCACTCAGAGAGAGGGAGAGAGAGAGAGGACCTCCTGGATAATCTGCATGGAGAGGCAAGGCTCCACACAGAGAGAAGTCAACTTTCTAGAAAGTGAAACACTTGCAATGGTGCCTCTACAAAGTGAGATACTTATTTCTCGTAAAGAAGTCGTTCATAAATTTTGTAGGATGTATCCGCTTTTAGTGACAGAAAGTATCAACCGTACATAATGCTATCTTATTAGGTGGTAGTTTAGTTGTGGAATAGAGGTAAAAGATCAACTAGTGATGCCGGTCAATAGAGTTGGTCTAAATGGGTTGCTCAAATAGGTTTTATAAAAAAGTTAGAGCGGTAACTCCATGTCCTAATTCTATGATGTAACTACCATCGGTATAGTAGATTCTAGTTTCTTATGTCTGTGGATATTGTGCCATAAATCGAGTGTTCTTATAGTACCCATCTTCTTATGCTGTCTTTCTCATGCCCATATTATAATATTAACTCGTTTGTTTTGTTTCTAGCCAATTAAGTATGCAATCCTAGTGGGATCTTGATATTGGGGGTTCTTATTTCTGCATATTAGAGGGTACTTAATTCAAAGAGAGAGAAAGAGAGATAGAGAGAGAGTGGTTTGGGTTGTGGCATTGTGAAAGTATGGAATTAGGTTTAAAATCAGATGATTGGAAATGTGTCCTTGACCAAATATAAAGTTCAAATGCAAATTTATTGATCTTTAGCAACATCTCCCAAGCTTTTGGATTTGATATCTAATGGTTATGATTTTTTTGTATAAAAAAAAAATGGTCTTATAAAATAAACTCCAAATAAATAGGGATGACAATTAGGTTAAATAAATAGGGATGACAATTAGGTTAGGTTGACCCACTGACCCCAATGAGTTTGTGGGACTTGACTGTCCAGGTCTGCGTTCACTTAGTCAAAAGAGTGACATAGTGCTCTTAGAGAGTCAAGGACTCCCGTTATTGGAAAGGGGCTTGTTCGAGGTGGTAGTAACCCTACACATTAGTCATCATGTTGTGGTTTTCATTTTTACTAATGCCACTTTTTTAACATTTTAAAAAAACTAACTCTTAAAATGGGTAGGCCCTGTCTTTCCTCTAAATTGCCTTCCCCCAAACTAAAAAACAAAAAGAAACAGACAAAAAAGGACCGTCATCACGCCATATTCTTTAGTCCTAGACATTATGCACAATTCACGCCACACGAAATTGGCACCCATTGTTTTCAAAGCATCTACCAAGTTTAGGTAGGCGTGGGCAAGGGAATCCAAAGAAAAAGAAATAGTAATTGGTGAATAGAAAATCTCTTAAATACATAAAAAAATAACATATATTTATTAGTAATTACATTTAAAGACTGGCATCTCTCTTTTTTTGGGTAATGAGACTGCCATATCTCTCACTCTCACTCTATATCTTAAAACTCAGACTGCTTCCTATCTCTATAGAACCTTACATCACTCCTGAGACAAAAGACCGAGGAAAGAGAGAGATTTAGCCGAAAATGGCAGCCATTGGGTTCAAGTTTCTTTGGGCTCTTCTTGGTCTATACATCTTGAATCAAGGTTATTTTCTTCTACTCTTCTTTTATCCACCTTTCTTTCTTCTTCTTTTTTTTATCTTTTTGAAAGAAGTTTTTGGTGCTGTAGAACTCAAATTGTTTATGTTTTTGGGTTTATTAAAGTTTTTCTATGGTTTTATGCAATTTATTGTCACCTTCCTATGCTAATTCTTATGGGAAAAGGCTCTGACAAAGACGATGATGATGATGATGATGATTGGGAAAAATGGTCGAGATATTAATAGTCTATCTCTAAAACAAACTGTGAAACTCTAGCCATTGTTCTTTGGAAAATTGTTTCAAGCGGGCTGGACCGAATTTCTACAACATGCAGTCCCAAGGTATAAAACATCCATTTTTAGAGATGTAAATAGGTTGTCCATCTAAAAAAAAATTGAAACTAACTGTCCAAATTTCTTTTTTTCATAAAATCATTATTTTTTTCTTAAAATTTAAATTTTTTTATATATTTAAGATCTTCATGTTAAAGATGTCTTTAAAAATTGGATCCAAATATCCATCTCAAAAATATATTTTTAAGAGTGAACTCATTTCTACATGGACTCAGAGAAACCGTGCCCTTATTATTTTTTTAACGGTGAAACTCTGGCCATTATTCATGCTGGTTTCTTCTTCTTCCTTCTTTGATGATTTATTTTTAATTTTCTAGGATATGCTAAAAAATGTGGGCCATCAGATATAAGAGTGACCCAATCCAAGACTGGTGAAGTTGTAGAAGGGCAATCCCAGTTCGAGGTGACCATCAGCAACACATGTGCATGCCCTCAGTCGAATGTCAAGATTGGATGCTCGGGTTTCAGTAGTGTCGGGCCATCCCCTAATCCTTCGGTCTTTCGGATGTTGGACGACTCGACATGCATCGTCAACGACGGCAAGCCTATCGCTAACGGGTCCCCTGTCAAATTCACTTATGCATTTGCTACCCCTTCTGATTTGCCTGTGGTGGGGGCCGATCCATCGTGTTAAGGCACTTGCAATGGAGGTGTTTTTCATTTTTGGAGTTTCCTTCCAATGGAGGTGTTTTTGTTTTGCTGATACAGCCTGTGTGGCTTAATGTTTTGGTTTCACAATAAAGCGTAACATGGTTGCTTTGGCAATACATATTGTTATCGCAATGGCTTTTATTTACTTGAGGCTTTTAATAATGTTAGGAACATTATTACCAGGACTGGACCAGGGCTTGAACTGGTGAAGAGGTTGGTCCAATCACAGCGAGTCCAATCGGCGGTTAGACTGGCATAACATTTTTCTCAATATAAAAATTTAAAATTTATTAAAATTTAAAAATTCAATTAACAATTAGTAGAAAAAATGATTTTTAATATTTATTATAAAAAATTCTAACTTAGATATGTAGATATTTATTTAATGGGTGCGGTGCCGAGACTCTAAACAGTAAAAGTAAAACACAACTTTAAATAGTGTCGAGAAAATGTGATTTTGATATTAGAAATTTTTGTGATATCCTTAAAATATATTTCAAATTTAATTATAAAAATTTAAAGTTTAAAAAATAGAGTAGATCAAGCAAATTTATGAAAACTTGAAAATCTTGAAAATTGACAGGTCCAAAAATGCGTTACAAGATGCACTATTTTCAAAACTTAAAATCCATTTTCTTCTCATATCCATGCATATTGATGTTGAGATGATCAATTTGAGGATATTTGAGCATCAAAACTACCTCTTCTAGTGAATTTTTAGGTGGGCTCTAACTTGATTTGTTTAGAGCCGCGGCTCTATATGAACTTTTTCCTTATTCAATTAAAAGTTGTATTTTATTTAACTAATTGGTATTTAGCGAGACACTTAACATGGACGAGGGAGGGAGGGAGGGAGGGAGGGAGAGAGAGAGAGTATAATAAAAAGGCAAGGTTTTAGCATATTTGAATTTTTTATTTTTCATAAAAATAAAATTATCATGAATTTTAGGTGTAATCTGCGGCAATAAAAAGTTTACATGCAATCAACGTGAAAAAAATAGAAAGAAAGAACAAAATCCTACAAAATTTAGCAATAAATTTGAAAAACCTATAGATTTTAAGTTCAACTCTCCATATTGGAAGGTCCAATAGAACCGGCAAAAAAAGTGATCAAACATGTTCAATTAGTCAATGCTGGTTTTGACCAGTACTGTGTGAATCCTAGTTTAGTGTTTACACCGGATCCAATAAGGTTTCCGTCACTGGTTCTGCCGATCGGATTGCCGGTCTGGGTATAATAACTTTGGCCATGAATATTTACATGATGAAGTTGAGGATAGGGATATTTAAGCCCCCCTCACTTTGAGACAAATGTTGCGTGTCGAGGCCATGTTATTGGATGGTCGGTAGCTTTTTGGTTCAATATTTATCTTGTTATATAAGACGAAATAGTTCTATCTCTTTTTCACACACATACTGATATAAACACATACAGAGATGTCGCAAAATTATCTTATAACACATACAGAGATGTTGCAAAATTATCTTATGATAGGGTTGTAAAATTATGAGCTATATTTTTTTTTATTATTAATGAAAAACCGCGTAAGGGCATTATCGCCGACTGATTCACCCAAAAAACAAAAGACACAACTCTCTTTGTGAGAAATGTTGTGGGCCCCCAGGCAAACCAACTTCACTACGGTGGGCTTCAAAATGAAGTGCTCTTAGGCACCAAAATAAAGTTTTGAACGGCAGGCCAAGTTTACATGCACCCATTATTCATGAACAACATTTTTAGAAACAGAATCGATGGGTTGAACTGGTCACCCATGCATCTGGCTTCTTAGTTTTTTTTTTTTTGTTATAAAAAAATTGTGAAAAAATCTTTAAAAAACAATGGGAACCGGGCAAAACTAAGGTGCCTTAGACCCAGACCGGTACCCGATGCGTTTGAGCCGGCATGACCATCAGTAAAGGACTGTTCATGAATAATCTCATTCTCTTGCTGCCAATCCATGTAAAGTGATGAGCGTTGTTATGGTCTGTTCCACCTATTCATGAGTAATGCCCCTTCTCGTCCTCCGCTAATTTAGAAAAAGGCGTGGAACTCCATTGCCTATCTAAAAGAAAAGCAGGTATCACCTTTTTATTTACTTACTCACAGGAGCATCCATATTGGGCATAAATGTAGACGTAATAGCATAAGGGCATGTGATGTAGTTTCACCACCAAACAAGGGTTTATTAGGTCTTTAGAGATTGAACCTTCACTAATCAAGCACTTAAGAAATGCAAATAACAAACTGTGTTGAAGGGACAGTTATATGATATATTGGAGAGTTGGATATAGGTTACTTTTGTTAAATAAAAGGGACAAAGTTTTTTTTGGTGTGTAAATGATCTATAGATGCTAGATTAAATTCAATGTGGGCAGCACACTAGTTCTCAAGCATTTTGGGGTAAATTATGTACAAGGTCCCTCCTTATACTATACAAGTAAAGCGCCCGTCTAAATTCTATCGGATGATGTAGTTCCCGTATCAAAAACCTTACGATAGGTTAGTTTTGTTTTTTTTCTTTATATCTATACATCTCGAAGTAGAGATAATCAATTGGAAGGTTTACCACTTCAGAACACTCTTTTAATGGACTTTTGATGTGCACATTACTATAGTATAGAGTTAGGTCGTGTCTCTATGATAAATCCGCACTTCAAAACCCCACCAGAAGATGCAACTTTGGTATAGAAGATCTTGTGGGGGGGTCTGTACATTTATTTTGCCATTGCTTAAAAAATGGTGTTAATTTGGTGAATACCATGAACAGTAAAAATAGAAGGTTTAGAAAACATTTTATAGGATAAATCATTTTTAGGGATCGAAATTCATCTCCTTTAGATCTATGATCGTTTTCATTGTCTAAGAAGATAAAGATTGCGATAATAAATTTGTAGATTGTATTTTCCAACAGGATGTGAGGTGAGGATTTATAAAGTCAAAATACTTCCCTTAGAATAGTGGTGGCAATGGAACCGACTAGATCCGGGAAGCGATGGGTATATACCCGACCTCAGGTCCGGGTTTGAGTCCAAATTGTGGACTTGAATACTATCATGGTCATGGTCTAAGTGCAGCTGGACCCGACTGGTACCCATAGTCATAGGTATATGATGCCAATCATGTCTTTAGACACGTGCTAGATGTTCAGACTGTGACAATATTATTGGCAAAAAAAAAGAAACTCATAGTCATAGGGTATAAGATGGTAAAAAAAAGCAAAATAAACTAAAAATTAAACTCATTGTCATAGGGTGGCAATGGATCCGACTATACCCGGGACCCGACGGGTAGACTCGGACTTGAAGGATCTAGGTACATGTCCAAATGTTAGACCTGAATACTATTCGAGTCCGGGTCCAGCTGGACCCAGCCCATTGCTACCCCTTGCTTAGAATATAAATTTCATTTGTTTTTTACTTTCCTTACTTGGCCGTCAGTTTAAAATAGCTTTTTGTCTTTACAGAAAGATTATTAGAGGAAGTGCCTTTTTTACCTTTAGCCAATTTTAAAACACAGAGAAAAAAACTAAGTATTTGGTGTTTTAAATGATATTTGAACTGAAGGTAAAATAGGAACATAAAAAATTTAAGAAAATAAGATCGAAAATATAGATCATGCAATAATACCGCAACTTTTTTTTTTTTTTTTCTGATTTGAAGGCAAATTTCTCTCCGTCTTTTTTCTTTCCAAGTAAGCCAACGTTAGGAATCGAACCTAAATGATAGCGTATGACTGCAGTACATATGCCATCTAAAAAGTTTAATTCAAATATTTCAACTAGGAAAAGTATACAATCACACCATTTATTTTTGTTATAAAGGGATCACAATTAATTTTGACCATTAGATATGAAATTGCATGGCTGTATTTATTCTCTCGACTAAGTTTAAAATTCAAAAATAAAATTCTCAAATTTTATGACACACCCAAGTTATTAGATTTCATCAATTACCTCCCTCGCAAAGTTACTAAAATTGGCTCCAACCAGTTATCTAAGGAAAAGTTTATATAGGGCCGAGCCTCTAAACAATCTAATTAGAGCTCACCTAAAAATATTCTCTAGAAGATATTGTTTTGATGCTCAAATATCATCAAATTGATCATCTCAACATCAGGATGCATGGACATAAGAAAACAATAGATTTCAAGTTTTGAAAATGGTGCATCTTGTTACGTATTTTTTGACCGTCAATTTTCAAGATTTTCATAGATCTACTCGATCCACACTATTTTTAAAACTTTAAATTTTACAATTAAAGATGAAAATATATTTTAAAGCTATCACAATGATTTTCAGTATTGAAACTACATTTCTGAACACTATTTGAAGGTGCATTTTACTTTGATTGTTTAGAGCTTTCGCTCCTTAAAATGTAGAATTACAAATACACCTAAAAAATCTATTGTAAAAGGTTGTTTTAATGTTGAAAGGTCCTTTAATTGATTATTTTGATATCGAGATGTATGAATATATTAAAAAAAAATATTTGAGTCCCCATAAATAATACATCTTGCAACACATTATCTAGATCATCTATTTTTAATATTTTCATATGTTCATAGTTCTACTTGATTTTAACCATTTTGTGGAATTTAAAATTTTATTATTAGAAATAAAAATAGATAATTTTTTACAACAAATTATATATTATGATAAAATTTGGAGGTGCACCTTATATAATAAAGCCTGCCAAAGCATTTAAGAGAGAGAGATGGCAGCATCTTCCTCAAGCTTTTCTGTGCCCTTCTGGTGCTCCAGTGCATGTTCACACAAGGTTCTTCACTTCTTTTTCTTCCTTAGTGGATTTTTTTTGGTTATTAATGCTCTGGTTCAGAAAAGAAGAAATCAAAATTAGGATCAGTCTATAGGAGCATATTTTGCTTAGTGAAGCCTTAATTTAGGACCACGACAGGTAACCTTTTATTTTTAGAAATAAAAATAAATATTTAGATAATTCTAAAAAAAATATATACCAAAATTACGTA